GGTGGAGTAGTAACTTTTAAAGAGTTTAGGTGACCATTTAGTAAATTATTATTATAGTGTATTATTAATAGGTTGTACCTTAGGGTCTGGGAGAGCTAATGGTCCTCCCCAATTGCACAGAGGCAACAGGAAAAATATATTTAAATAAACATTAAAATCATTAAACAAGTTAGCAAAATAATGGCAGTTTTCCAACTTAACAGACCTGCTTCTACTTGGTAATTCTTTGCTCTTTGTATTCTGATGAAAATTCCAGAGCCGAAATCATAAAACCCTCCATATCATATTACCTCAAGAAACCTCAGAGGAAGTCATGTCAGCTAGAAATAATAACTGTGTAACTATGCAATAATAATAACAAAAACTATCTATTTCTCTTTCAGACTGGATGCCTGGTATCTGAAAATAAGAAATATTGGATTAAATTCTAGTCCTTTTTATGCTGAGACTGAGAAACGGAGGAAATAAAAATATTTCTAATTTGTTGAACAGAAAAATCTCTTTACAGATCTCAGTAAACTACTTTCAAAGTCAGTAAAATAATGACGATCACAATGAAAGGAAAAGCAGCCTGCCTGAATGCTGCTAAATACTGTGGTACTCTCTCTTTTTTTTTAATCTTAAAAATAAATTCAAAAATCAGTCAGAATTGTAAGTGAATTCACAAGTCAGATAAATTTGCTTTAATAGATTCATTATCAAATTTCACTTTAATAGCCAAGATCTAAGTTCACGTGTATACTCCTAGTTGATCATTTTAAAATTAGTTATTTTTCCACATATTTAATCCATATAATATCAAATGATAGTGATTCTTGCATAAATGACTGATTTTTATAACTTCCAGCCAAATACTTGTGCAGATGTTTCCTTACATCATCTTTATGCCATTTTTACTGAAAATATTGTCATTATGCAAATAATACAAGAAAATAGAGTTTAACTTACTTGCAGGAAATTTGGAGCAAGAAATCTAGGAAAAATGCTAATCCTCTGGTCTCTTTATATCCACAAGAACAGTCCAAACTCCTTCATAGTCTCTCCTACATAATGCTTTAAAAGTTTGCCTTTTTTTGAAGAACTCCTCCTCAGACTTCTTTCTGAAAGGGGGTTATGGTCTCAATTCAGTCAAGCTGCCAAAATATACTGTTCACATGATGACTTTTGTGCTGTTTTCCATTTCTTTCTCTCCCAGTCACTTCCTCTGCAGGGAGATAGCAGTTACAGATGTTTGGCTAAGCACGGCATTCTTGTAAAGAGAAATCCCATTTTTGTTCACTTGGTTCTCTTCTTCCAGGCACAAGGGAAAAGTCACGGAATTTAAAATTTAAAAACACAGAGACTCCAACGTAATTTTTTAAACACAAATAGCCAAATCAGAGAAGTGCAGATTGAAAAAAAAGGAAAAAGATGACTAGTGAGAAAGAAATAGCATGCTTCCAATAAAAGAAGAGGACAACTTGCATGAAGTTTAATCTAAGATTCAATTGCACCTCAGGCAAATGATGCTAATAAAAATAACAAAACCCAGTCCCCACTTATTCCTTTAAATGGTTTAGAGTAAATGAACAGAAAATGCCAGACCTTAATGATTGCCCCATAATTACATTCAGTCTTCAACTGGCTTTGGATAATTGCCTAAACCAAACAGACTCAGAATTGTGAATTAACCCTTTTCATCCTTGCCGCACAGCTAAAAAGAAATATTTACCACTGAGACATTGATTTTTGAATTAAATGTAATGAAAGGATGCATGCATATATTATGAGGTTCAATTGACTTTGAGGAGCTTTCCTGTGGAGTATGTGCAGGGTTTTCATTCCAGCTGACCACCGTGAAGCTTTCGAAACTGCCTCTAACCACATATAACTCAAGGCTAAACAACTTTACTTTGAGATGACAGAATCCTCATACTGACTACAGAACTGAAATACCTGATGAGTCAGTGGATTTGTAAAAGGAGTCACCACACCTTCAGCCTCTCTCGTCCTTTATGGCTATGAATTATGTCAGGACTGTTTTAAGTGTCTTCCAGAGCAGGGGAGGAAGCGGGTAGAAGGGGAGAGGTAGCTTGCCCTCCTCTACTCTATATGCAACTGTGCACATATGGCATCTAAAGCACATGCCCAGGCTAGGCAAGTCTCACCTTTGCTGCAGTTTGAGCTGTATCTCTTGTTTGTTCCTTCCTGATGTTAAGTGAATGAGTGTGAGGGACTGTCTGATATTGGCAACTACCAGGTGGGCGCTGTGGCAAGATTAGGGTTAAGATCTGGGTATTTGGAAGCCGAGGCAGGGGCTGTGGTAGGCGGAGTCGTGGTGAACTGGGATGGGCTGGGTACGGAGAAGCCCTGAGGCAGTGGGCAGTGCTATGTGAGATAAGCTGGGTGCAAGGAAGTAGCCAGAGCTTGTGCTCCTGAGGCAAGGGGCGGTGCCACGTGGGAGTGGGATGGCAGAGGACGCGTTCCCTTTGCTTAGTCCCCTCCCTATATGCAACGTCAACCCCAGACGCCTCCTTCCTGTGACCTTCCTGACTTCCTGGGTCCCTTTGTGTAGCACTGACCCCAGACGCCTCCTTCCTGTGTCCTTCCTGACTTCCTAGGTCACCTACTCTGTCTATGCACTAATCCCAGATGCCTCCTTCCTGTATCCGGTCCTAGCCTCCTACGTCACTCCCTCCCCCTTGGTGTGCTAAACTCAGACAGCCCCTTCCGGTATCTGACCCTACAATCATTGGCTAGTAAGCGGGCTGGGGAGGAGGGGCTAGGTAGGTATTTAGGAACAAGCGTGGTCAGATCACGCTCGCTCTCTTGGCTCCTGCTCTGTTGCTCTGGCCTTGCTGCTTGGGCTTGCTGTGATGGCTTGCTGTGATGGCCTCTGAATAAAGATCTGGTGTTGGCGCCTCCTGATGGCTCGTCTTTGTGTGTTTATCCGGTTGAGGACCAAAGACTGATGAGTGAGTATGACTCTGGCAGCCTGCTCCTTATAGGAGGAGGGTTCGGAGCGCCCGGCATAAGGTTGGCGCGGCCAGTACAAATGAGTATCAAGACATACATAAAACATACATGGTCAGCCAGGGAGGTCCTCTTGGGAGTTTGAGAAGCCAAAGGTCTCATCAGGTTGGATCTGAATGGATAAAAGAGGAGTCCCCAGCAATAGCTCTAGCACTCTTAAAGAAGATTGCCACCCATGAGAAGATTGGCCCAAGCCTGGCTGTTTTACAAACTGAAGTGTACGAGAAGTGTTTAGACTGTGCAAAGCTGAGACAGAATGTAAAATAACCAATTAGCAATGCTGGAAATTGCTTTATATTCTGCTGAAGTTCATTTTTTAATTTATTTTTGTTAAGTATTTATTATCACTTCCTCCCACTGCTCTTCCAACTGAATAAGAAAATGAAAAGTCATAATAAATATGCATAATTTAGCAAAAGATTCACAAATCCAAAAAGAGATATTTCATTCTTCATTCCTCTCTAAAAGGAGGTGGATGACATTTTTCATCTTCCATCCTCTGGACTTGTGGTTCACCATTGCGCTGATCAGAGTTCTAAGGTAATTCAAAGTTGTTTTTCTTTATAATATTGTTGTCATTGTGCAAATTGTTCTCCTAGCGCTGCTCATTTTAGTCTGTTCAAAGAGGTCTTTCCATACAACATGATTAATGTGAAAATATGTTTAATAGGATTGTAGAGCCTATATTAGATTGCACGCTGTCTTAGGAAGGGAGAAGGGCATGGAGGGGGAGAAAATTTAAAATTCAAAAGCTTATGGAAGTGAATGTTGAAAACTAAAAGTAGATTAATTAGTTAAAAAAGAGGTCTTTTCAGTTTCTTCTAAAACCATCCATTTCATGGCTTCTTCTCACACAATAATATCCCATCACAGTCATACACCATAATTTGTTTAGCCATTCCCCAAGAGATGAGTTTAGTTAATAGTTTTGGACTACTATGAGAAAAGCTTCTATAAATATCTTTCTTTTTCTTCTTCCTTTATCTCTTTGAGGCATAGGACTAGTAGTGGTGTAACTGAGTCAAAGGGTATCTTCATCTACAGTTTAGTAGCTTTGGGGGCAGATTCCAAATTACTATCTTCATTTCTCTCTAGACTGCATTCCCAATTGTCCAAACTTTCTCTATCATGCCAGAGAAATCTCTTCACCCTGTAAGTTTATCTGCCTTTGAATTTCTTACACTGAAAGTACCCTTCATCCCTGCATCCTTTTCCTCTGATTGGCTGCCTTCTTCCAGAATCTGCATTTTAAGGAGGACACTCAGCCTGTGATTGCTGCTTCCTCTCAGAGCCTCCATTTTAAGAAGGATGCCCAAGCAAGCATGTTGCACTCTTCTCCAGGCTGCACCCCTGACTCTCCAAACTCTTTCTACCATGTCCTTGGATGAGTACTCTGCTGTCTTTCCTCATCCTTTTAGGTGCTGTCTTCTCCCACTAGAATATAATCTCCTTGAGGTCAGCAGTCATTTTTCTTTCTGCTTGTATTTGTATTTCCAGCGCTAAGCACAGTGCCTGATACACAGTAAGTGCTTAATAAATGTTTGTTAAATTGAGTTGACATGCTATCTAGAATGGCTAGATCAATTTACAGCTCTGCCAACAACATAAGGTACTTGTTTTCCTATAGCCTCTCCAACATTTGTCATTTTTTTCTTTTATCATCTTTGACAATCTAATAGCTGATACATGGAATCTAAGAGTCCTTTTAATTTGAATTTCTGTAATTATAAGTGATTTGGAACATTTTCATATACATGGTGATAGCTTGAATGTTTTCCTTTAAAAATGTCATTCACCTCCACAGAGAGACCCAATGAGCTCTGAGCGAAGATTGAAGCATACTTTTTCCTTGCTTTTTATTGTTTGTATATTTGTTTGTTTTTTGCAACATGGCTTATATGTTTTGCATGACTTCAAGTGTATAATTAATATCATATTGCTTTACTTCTCAATGGGTAGGAGAGGGTTGAGA